TCTCTTGAACTTCCGCTTTCCTTTCTGCTTCTGCTCGTTCCAATTTTCCAAGCTAAAAAAAGTCTAGGATAGATTGTTCATTTTACGTCTATACATATATACACACACGCACAAACGTACGCACAACATGCGTACACACACGTACAACGCATACATACAACATACACACAACACAAACATCCACAATACACATACACACACAGCACAAACACACACACTTTTATAAACTAATATATGCACACAGTTTTTTCAGCCCTAATCACTAAACTAGCAATAACATAGAAGCAGATTATCTGCTAAAACTGAAAGGTCTGTTTTACTAAAATATTCAGAACGCGAAAATGTCAGCAATGTGGTCATTCATGATAATAAATGCATATGTGCGCTCTCACCCTGCTGTGATAATCGCGCATCACTTGGATCATATAAGGCATCGCGAAATCCATAATCTTATGCTTCCAGGCCATTTCAAGAATAACATCCGGATGCAGTAGGTCATACATTTGACACAGCGATGCAGCAAAGCAGTCATGCAACTTGTTATCCAAGAAGTAAGCTAATAACTCTTCAGCTATTTCAGGCTGTCGCGATTCTGCTGCGTATTCCATTGCATCCTTAAAAAAACCTATTTAGTATGAAATCTGAAATATTGAAGAAAATCTAATATCTTCCACCCATTTTAAAAACTAAGGTAATATGTGCCAAGATATCTCTTGTATTTTCTTTCTATCGGTACCACCCAACAAAACGTCTCGTCGGGAACGCTTTCCATCTGTCTAAAGCATAAAAAACAAAAGTAGGCACCATAAAAAATTGAGGTCAGAAAAGCAGTGATAAGTTCCTGTCATGTCGCTAATAAATTACTTACTTTATACAATTTATCCTTTTTGCACAACTCGACGCTTTGCTTCCACCTATTGTTGCCTTTATAGAGGTAAGCTGAGATGCGTCTGAACTCAAGCAATTCGTGCTTCTCAAGCTGTTGTGCCAGTGCAATGTTATCAAAATTGTCATAAGCGTCGATCGAAGCTCGCAAGCCCGCGTAGTCTTCTTCATCAATGAGCACCTGATTCAACGCCTCATTCACTGACTTGTTGTTCTGCGTCTGCACTTGACGCAAGTACGGCTTCACAAGTGGAAGTTGGTCCGCTGTAACACACATCACTGCAGAAATTTGCTCCGAAAAAATACTGCTAAACAGTGATGAGTCTGAGGCAACCAAGCAAGAACCTCTTCCGTACGCCGAAACATGTTGCGCCTGTCAATAAAAACACATCCAACTGGCCAACGCACAGGCAGTACGCACGAAGATGCGTTTTTATGCGTTTTTGCCGTGCAGCGCTAGAGCGCTGCAACAGGCAGCAAAAACG